CAGTAATTCATGTGCAACAGAGATCCTTCCAAAAGAATGAAAAGGAAGCACAGTAAGGGAGAGGCCACTTTTGTCACCTTCAGTCCTGAGCAGCCTTGACACCGTCCTTACTGGCACCAGCTGTCACTGGGCAGGGGTGGTCTTCCCAGTGGACAGGAGAGTTTAATAAAGTTTCCTCAGGGATATTTCCAGGAATGGCTTCAGGGTGGAAAGCTCAACAGCTCAGAAACCTCCCCCTTGACAACTCATGGTTAAAAATTGTGCAGGACATTTCTGTCTGATCCATTCCCCTTTCTGCTGGCTGTAGGAATCTCTATTGCCTACAGTTAAGCAGATCTCAGGTTCCTGTGTTCTCTCTGTGTTCTTTGTCCATCCACAGTCAAGATGCTCATCCAGTGCTATGGCCAACTCCCACGCCACTTCTCCCATTCTCCGAGTCCTTCCAAGCCCCTAGAAGAAAGAGTCTGAGTGCAGCCAATTCTCCTTCCTGACCCTGACCCTGCTCTGCCAAGTTCTCTGCAGGAAGGGATGCTCCAGGATCAGGGCTGGGACCACAGAAGATAGGTGCTTTTTATTTATCCTCGATGCTGTGGCAAGAGTGAGATGAAGAGATGCTGCTGGATATCAGCCTTTGAGTTCCCTTCGTGGCTCTGGGGAAATCATAATTATCTTGATGCCGGGTTTCTTTCCCTTCTCTTCCCCTCCCCTCCCTGCTCTGAATATCCAAGTATCTTAGTGCTCACGTCAGTTAAGGGACAGACCCTGTGACAAGCAGCCGAGTGGGAACAGGCAGGCTCTCATGAGCTTCCCCTCTTACATGCCTCTGCCAGGGCACACGCATCTCAGTTCAGCTAGCCAGGAGACATGTGACCCACGATACTGCCCATGCTGGCAGGCAAACAAATGATAAAACACCTGTCTCACGTTCTGGTTGCTCTGCATCATATGGAAGACACAGGTTGTGGAGGTGATTTCAGCCAGCTCTGCAATCTTTTTGTGCTCCTCATCTGACCTGTGCCTGGCCTGTGTCAGAAGGACCTAAGGATAAGGAGACGAGGAAATAGAAAGATGCCAGCTGCACCTCAAATCCTACATTCAGGACTACCACCGAATAGAATAGAATAGTC